TCTAGACGTAAAAGTATCTTAGCAATTTTTTGGTACAATATTACCACAGTGTAATTAAAAATACATGTTGCAATTTAAAAATATAAACTTGACCTTTATACATATATGCGAATTGTATCACCTGGTGGAAAAATACATCAATTCACTTACGTAAATTGATGTATTCACTTACGTAAATTGATGTATTTTTCCACCAGGTGATACAATTCGCATATATGTATAAAGATCAAGTTTATATTTATGTAAGTAAATTGATAGGTATACACATGGTACAACTGTTCATCTTTCATTTATAACATTTTTAGTTGTCATTAGACTACGTATTTTATGCATTTATGACAAAAACAAATAAGTGCAATTGAAAACAGTGAACAAATTAAAATAATTACAAGCAACGATGTATTATTTTTAGTTTGTTAAAATTGTGAATGAAATAATTAAATGTATACTTGGTGCTAACTAAAAAATTATTTGGTTGCTAGTGACAAAACTGCAAAAGAACAACGAAAGAAGCTTTTTAACAGACATCGATAATATTTCCTTTCTAATTCTACAAGATATTTTCACCTAAGCAAGCTGAAACTTTTCCCTATCTTTTACTAAACGACAGGGTGTCCCAAAATTATGATGTTTCCGAGAAATGACGGATTCCTGAGGTCATTCGAAGTAACTTTTTCCTTAACGAAAATGCAAATCGCGGCTCTATTTACGAGTTATTAACGAGAAACACTGACCAATGAGAGGCGAGCTCAGCTGACGCGAGGCGGTCGAGTCAATCAACGGGTGACTCGGCCGCCCGAAACACTGAAAAATGCTAAAAACGCTGCGAAACCCTTATAAATCGCTCTTTTCGAATGGAACAAAATGGAATCGCTAGATCTTAAGATGTTTTATCGAATTTAGCGCAAATCATCTTGAATCGAAAACTTGAGATAACTGGGGAAGTCCTGCAAACTGTGCAAAAAGTTTAGAAACAGCTGCTTTCGCGTGAAATCAACTAGAAACGCTAATTATTATTAAGACGTCGTTATTCTAATAACAGGATCGAGTGGCTATCAATGACCCACGAGTCGACGCAACCTGAAATAAACTAATAAAAAGGAACGAGTTGTATATTGTAGATGTTCATTAACACGCATATTTCGCCATAATTTACAAGTTTGCGCACGCCATAAATGCATAAAGAACCCGCTCGTAATTCCGTCCGAGGGTAGAACGAGCAGATGCGCCGCGGCCATAAAGACGTTCGAAGTGTGAAAGTAGATCTCAGCTGCGTCGCTATTAGCAATAATAATTGCAGGTCGCCGATAGGCGGGACCTGAGAGCCTAGCTTTCCATGCAACTGCATTCCGAACCACACCTCGGCCGCTTCTATAGTTTTACAGGCCGGCACCGCGGCCCGTTTGCATAGAACGCAGGTCCCGCGATCCTCTTCCAGCTCACGACGATGCTTCTAATGAAATTCAATAACGGTAATCGACCCGAGGCATTTCAATGACGTGCCTAAGAAATCATTTTTCCAGCAACCGGGCGCGCACGCGGCGAACCAGTTCACGGTTTATTCCTCTCCGCTCTTCGGGCCAGCGTCTCCACGGTGCTCCCCGAAGCGAGTTTCTCGATGAAAGGGTCGTTAGCGGAACAAACGTGTCGGTCGAAAGCTTCTAAAACACCGACGGAAAAAGTGAAACCGATTCCGCTGATTCGTCGTTGTTCGAGTAGCACATGTTCGCCGTCGTTCGCTTCTCAGAGATGTTTTGCTGCGCGGGTAACCCTCCTATAACACGGTAGATAGGTTCCTAGAAAATGCCGCGTTGTGCGAAACCGTGTTATATGGGACCTAGAGTCGGTACAAAAAAGGAGGGTTACGTACCGAAAACTTGTTACAATATTAATATTTAATATGATTATTTAGATATCTATTTGAATATTATAGTTATAATATTTAATATGATTATTTATATATGTATTTGAATATTATAGTTATAATATTTAATATGATTATTTAGATATCTATTTGAATATTATAGTTATAATATTTAATATGATTATTTATATATGTATTTGAATATTATAGTTATAATATTTAATATGATTATTTAGATATCTATTTGAGAGAATATTATAGCTGTCTCTTATACACATCTAGATGTGTATAAGAGACAGCTATAATATTCTCTCAAATAGATATCTAAATAATCATATTAAATATTATAACTCTGTCTCTTATACACATCTAGATGTGTATAAGAGACAGCTATAATATTCTCTCAAATAGATATCTAAATAATCATATTAAATATTATAACTCTGTCTCTTATACACATCTAGATGTGTATAAGAGACAGCTATAATATTCTCTCAAATAGATATCTAAATAATCATATTAAATATTATAACTCTGTCTCTTATACACATCTAGATGTGTATAAGAGACAGCTATAATATTCTCTCAAATAGATATCTAAATAATCATATTAAATATTATAACTCTGTCTCTTATACACATCTAGATGTGTATAAGAGACAGCTATAATATTCTCTCAAATAGATATCTAAATAATCATATTAAATATTATAACTCTGTCTCTTATACACATCTAGATGTGTATAAGAGACAGCTATAATATTCTCTCAAATAGATATCTAAATAATCATATTAAATATTATAACTCTGTCTCTTATACACATCTAGATGTGTATAAGAGACAGCTATAATATTCTCTCAAATAGATATCTAAATAATCATATTAAATATTATAACTCTGTCTCTTATACACATCTAGATGTGTATAAGAGACAGCTATAATATTCTCTCAAATAGATATCTAAATAATCATATTAAATATTATAACTCTGTCTCTTATACACATCTAGATGTGTATAAGAGACAGCTATAATATTCTCTCAAATAGATATCTAAATAATCATATTAAATATTATAACTCTGTCTCTTATACACATCTAGATGTGTATAAGAGACAGCTATAATATTCTCTCAAATAGATATCTAAATAATCATATTAAATATTATAACTCTGTCTCTTATACACATCTAGATGTGTATAAGAGACAGCTATAATATTCTCTCAAATAGATATCTAAATAATCATATTAAATATTATAACTCTGTCTCTTATACACATCTAGATGTGTATAAGAGACAGCTATAATATTCTCTCAAATAGATATCTAAATAATCATATTAAATATTATAACTCTGTCTCTTATACACATCTAGATGTGTATAAGAGACAGCTATAATATTCTCTCAAATAGATATCTAAATAATCATATTAAATATTATAACTCTGTCTCTTATACACATCTAGATGTGTATAAGAGACAGCTATAATATTCTCTCAAATAGATATCTAAATAATCATATTAAATATTATAACTCTGTCTCTTATACACATCTAGATGTGTATAAGAGACAGCTATAATATTCTCTCAAATAGATATCTAAATAATCATATTAAATATTATAACTCTGTCTCTTATACACATCTAGATGTGTATAAGAGACAGCTATAATATTCTCTCAAATAGATATCTAAATAATCATATTAAATATTATAACTCTGTCTCTTATACACATCTAGATGTGTATAAGAGACAGCTATAATATTCTCTCAAATAGATATCTAAATAATCATATTAAATATTATAACTCTGTCTCTTATACACATCTAGATGTGTATAAGAGACAGCTATAATATTCTCTCAAATAGATATCTAAATAATCATATTAAATATTATAACTCTGTCTCTTATACACATCTAGATGTGTATAAGAGACAGCTATAATATTCTCTCAAATAGATATCTAAATAATCATATTAAATATTATAACTCTGTCTCTTATACACATCTAGATGTGTATAAGAGACAGCTATAATATTCTCTCAAATAGATATCTAAATAATCATATTAAATATTATAACTCTGTCTCTTATACACATCTAGATGTGTATAAGAGACAGCTATAATATTCTCTCAAATAGATATCTAAATAATCATATTAAATATTATAACTCTGTCTCTTATACACATCTAGATGTGTATAAGAGACAGCTATAATATTCTCTCAAATAGATATCTAAATAATCATATTAAATATTATAACTCTGTCTCTTATACACATCTAGATGTGTATAAGAGACAGCTATAATATTCTCTCAAATAGATATCTAAATAATCATATTAAATATTATAACTCTGTCTCTTATACACATCTAGATGTGTATAAGAGACAGATCTATAACTGAAATCGGCAATTACTTAGTTGCCAACCCAATATGTTACTTACGGCAAATGTTACAATGACAACACTTGTCCAAAATCAGAATAAATGCCTTATTGTTACTTTTACAAACTAATATAAAACAGCTGTCTTTTGTGCTTTGTAAATCTAGCGTTAATAAAATTGTTCCTCGTCACTGCTCAGTACCATCGAATGAGAACGTTTTCTCGGTTGAACGATATCACTTTCATTTTCTGAATCTTTTTCTTCATTCAGATTTTTTGCACCTTCTATCCTCTTTAAGAAATCTGTAATTTTGGTTTATTTGCTGATTCTTACACGGTCATTGTAGATTTCATGGTATGAAGATAGACAATTTTGTAGCTTCCTTTTGAATTTTTAGCTCCTTTCAACGGATGGGTTGATACTTATATAACCTTAATTATAATAATTATATTTTCATGTAAAGGCACTATACTTCATTATTCCTTCTCGTTATTATTTTAAGGTAATTTAGTTTTTAAATATGTTAAACAGAAATCATGTTATGCAGTGCTATAGAAGTACAGTGTCGTACAAAGGTTTTCGCAGCGTTTCAAGAAGAATAGCAATTGTGCAAACTTGTGTATCGTGTATGAATTTAAAGTTTGAGGTTATGTAGGTTTAGCCAAATTAAATGTCACATCTTTCAACGGATTGTACTGTTTCAAACCGTTAAGGTTTGATTGTTATTTGTTGTATTTCATACTATGCAGCAATAGTGTACAAATTGTTGAAAATTATCATGATCCGATGGATTAAAAAAAATGCGTTAAAAAGATCAGTTAGATTTTTTCCTATTGGGATTTTTAGAAAGTAAGATTTATGTCAATATATCACAAACGACTGACGAGCTAAGAAACAATATTATAGCCGCCACTGATAAAACGATTATAGTTAGTTATAATAAGATACAGTTAGTTATAATTAATTATAGTTAGTTGTAATTACTTATTGTTAGTTATAGTTAAATAATTAGTTGTACTTAGTTATAGTAAGTTATAGTCAGTTATAGTTAGTTATAGCTACTTATAGTTAGTTATAGTTAGATATAGTTAGTTAATAGTTAGTTATAGTTAGTTATAGTTAGTTATAATTAGTTATAGTTAGTTATAGTCAGTTATAGTCAGTTGTAGTCAATTATAATCAGTTATAGTCAGTTATAGTTAATTATAGTTACTTATTGTTAGTTATAGTTAGTGGATGAAACGACTCGGGCTCGTGAAAAAAGAGGGGAGGGGAGTTCGTTTGAACTACACTGTGTTCTACGATTAATGTTATGCAATGGACTCTATATTAAAATAAAGAAACCCGAAATATCTCGAATAGTTTGTGTTTTATTTCAATTTAAAGATGCGACATTCAATTCGGATAACCCTATATTACATAACAAAAGTACCCGCACAGAATTTACTCAACGACGAGAATGTGGCCTCCGAATTGCCTTCGAATCGTGTTATGTTGCCTTCGAATCGTGTTATGTTGCCTTCGAATCGTGTTACGTTGCCTCCGAACTGCCTTCGAAACGTGGCATGTGGCCTCCGAATTGCCTTCGTATCGTGGCAAAAAATTAGAAATAAAGAAGTCATGTCATCGCTTTTATTCTAGCATTACTACGTATTCATATTAATGTACACCGGCATGCTGGCCGCTGCCTTTTTTGCCGACTGCTCCGAGTTTCTATAAAAACGAGTCGTGAGGCTCGAAGAAACGCGACTTAGTATCCTCAAATCTCCCGGTTTCAATTCCGACCGCCGAACATTTCTGGGAGAAATTACTGTATCGTTAAAAATACTGTTAAGTAGTTCGTGTTTTATTTACAAATTCCTGGTACTATTTTTACATAATGTATTTTGATTATTAAGAGTGTAGGAAACCAATGTGTTAGTTCACTCGCACAGTTTATTATAAGATGTAACTTAAAAAGATTTCGTAGGCGACGCCCAGTAATTTCTCTCCCAGTGTCTCTTAACTTGGAAACAAAAATGGGGAACTTGGGAAGAGCAGATATGATTATTCGTGCCTCGCGCCTCGTTTTTTCTAGTTCTTGTTAATTGGCAACTATAAAAATGAGCAACAATACTCGAATAATCGTATCTACTCTCCTCAAGTTGTCCACTTTCGTTCCTAAGCTCAGGGACAATGTGAGAGAAATTACTACATTTACGTCTTAATATCGTAATTAGCAGTTCGGAACATATCAATTATGCCACCTAAAAGCACTCTATTGGGTGCTATTTTCTTCAAACTTCCTATTTTCACAGTTATGTGGAATAATTTGGATCCGTGACAATTATGGTCCCTGTACTTTATCTATCGATAGTTTTCTAATAGTCCTTCCAATGTTGCAGATCGACAGTTTAATAACAACAGTTGACATACCACAACAAATTATTTAGCTTAACACGATACAACAACTCCTAAAATTATTATTCAAAAATAAATTAGCAAGCTTCCTTCAGATACATCTAAATTATTTAAATAGTCTATTAACGTACATCCATAACTAAAGTGTTCATTAAAAGGATTAGCTTCAACCCAAAAAAAGAAGTTGGAAAATATGTGAAAGTATAACGTGTATAAAACGATTACGATAAGATAAATTAAATTACAATAAAATTATTGTAATATCTAATAAATGTAATAAATTATTGTATATATAAATTATAATAAATTATTTATTACAATAAAATTACAATAAAATAAACGATTAGTAATACAAAATAAATAAAAGATTAAAAAATAAAAAATAAAATAAAAAATTAAAAGATAAATAAAATACAAATGAAAAAATTATGTAATTAAAATTAAAAAATTATACATTTTTGTTGACACAATACATATTGTTGTTCTATGTTAAGAAGGTTTGCTACATCCATGAATATGCATCTGTGTAACATGTATCTTAGCTTTTGTCGACAAGTATATGTAAAATGAAGTGGGAATAAGTGTCGAGTATCGAACAACGGTGATCTCACCTTGGAATGGAAATATGCTAATCGTAAGCAGATAATTAGACACGAGAAACAACTTACCTTGGTTTTCCTTTGTTATTGATATCCGAAACCGTGTGCCCCGGGTTCTCCTCCAACTCCCGCATCTGATGGTGGCCCGCATCGTGCCCATGGCCGTGTTTGCCGTCGATAGACGTCGGAGAGGAGTCTGCATCTTCTTGCGGACTATCGAACACAGAATCAGAGATTAGAGGAAACTTGTAAGAGTACTTTTGCTTCGATAAAGAAGTCACGTTAGTTACTCTACGTATATTCTAAACTATTACATATAGATATAAACTATTGCATAAAAATTATAATTATAATTAATTATAAGAATTATATATTCTATAAAAATTATATTGTATATATATAAAATATAAACATAAACATATATAAATATAAACAAATTTGATAATGTAAAAATTATGTATATATATATACAATATAATTTTTATAGAATATATAATTCTTATAATTAATTATAATTATAATTTTTATAATATAATAATATAATAATTATAATTATGTATATATATACATAATTTTTACATTATCAAATTTGTTTATATTTGAAAAAACTGTTGAAGGTGTAACCGTTGTTTGAGTAAGGAAATTAATTAC